TGACTTATAAATGTCCTTTGTCCTAGCCTCAGATTTCTGCAGCTTCGCAGGGTGCAGTGATTGCATTCGTTGATCTCTACAGGAGCAGAACACTCTTCAAGGGGTGATCGGGTACTTAGTAAGTGGTTAGTAACCGTGGTCATAACCCACTGACCATGGTTATAAGTCTCCTAAGTTGGTTACAACCATAGTTACTAACCACTTACTAAGTACCCTGCCCCTTTAAGCTGCTTCCCTCTTTCAGTTGGGAGGGCTGTTTCTATCCGCGTCTAGCAACTTGGAGCAGGTGTCCCCATTGGCACACACAATACTCTGGGACGTGGCGCCATACCAAAGCATGCATCACTGCAACCAATCACGACACCGGAAGAATTCCCGAGCAAGGTCAGCGTAGCATCTGGGCCAGCAGGCCAGCGTTTGAGGAGCCCTGGTTCAAGTTACGCACAATCTTTACGCAAACCGTTTCCTGGATTGAGCAGCACCCCAAAAAGCCGAAATCTTTATGCAAACGGTTTCGTTTCGTGAATCGCCTCGGCGAAAGGAAGCTCTGCCGTTGCGAAAACTCGGCCGCAAGCTCCCGCGAAAGGGCTGGGGCAGACACACTGCGCCTCTGGGGCAGGCGACCGTGCCGTGCGGCGTATGTCACGCCGGGTACATTCCCAAGCCTTGGCCGATTGCGCCAGTTTCGCAAAAAGGGGCTCGGCGAAAAGAAAGGGCTGGCCTTTTCACCCGACTCTTGACCTGAAAAGTCGGATGTTTGAGCTGCCAAAGTGTCGGCGTGCTACACTACTCAACAGGTGCGGTCTTTGAGCTGAAGCCACCTTGGCGTACTACTCTTGTACTGAACAGTTGCTCTGCTAATTTAAAAAGAGCCGCCGCGGACAAAATAACAAACAAAAAACAAACAAACAAAAAACAAACAAAAAAACAAACAAACAAACAAACAAACAAACAAACAAACAAACAAACAAGAAACACAAGAAACAGTGAAAGAGTGGGTGCAAAACAGGCCCCTGCGAAAGGAAACCACACCCTCGCGAAGGCCTCGGCGAAGGGGCGCAATCAGGATGACGAAATCTCGAACAGCTTTGAGCACCGCAGACTTGTTGCATTGAAGCTGGGCAACGCCAAAGAGTTTGCGGAATCTCGAACCGCGAATCTTGCTGCACACCCCAAAGCTTATCTCCAAACACATGCCCAGATGGATCATCGCGCTTACAGGTTGGCCCGATCCAAATCCTTATGATTAGTTTTTTTCCAGCTTCACCTAGAATGACCGTCATTCTTTTCAGGCTAGGCTCGAATGAGTTCCTCCTGGACTTTCTCTGAAGGGATGCGCATTCGATGTTCGGATTCGATGAGGCGTTGGCGATCATCAAGACCAGTTTGGGCTTGGATGCTGAAGGCACTGCCGGGCGAGGATGCGAGGTTTGATGGTTAAGAATGCAAGGCGTAGAAAAAGATCTCACATACTGTGGATGGACAAAACTTTGCCCCATTTTGAACCATGGGAAACCATTGTTTGTTGGTATTTACAGGGGAATCACCATTCCAGGGTTTCTCAGGTGGTGCAGGATTATGTCCATCCACAATAGCAAACGTCAAATGTCCGCCTCTGCTGTGGTTGATGATGAAACGATATTTAGACTTGATTTGAGCTGCACCGTACATTGAGCGCTCACACATAAGCGGGTAGGCTTCAACACATCCTGCTTCGTTGATTTCTGCACCCTGCACTTGTGAACATAAAGAGTGCATGTCCGGCACAAAACCAGCAAGTGCACCTTTCTTGACTGCTTCTATTGAATGATTAGCGCCTGTGTCATGGAATATTCCCTGCTCACTTTCCCTTAAACATCCATTCCTTCCCAGTTCATGCTGTATTCAATCTTGTTTGTGGTTTGTGAATTGCAACTGTGATTTCAGGCCATGGGATTGAAGACCGAGCCAAGGTACAAAGGTCAAGGAATGGAGTAACGGACTTGCTGCATGCTTTATTCCGCGTTGCTCGAAAACAAGCAGCCGGCAACTACGGAGTGATGTGCGATACTTGCAGCAGCAAAAGTTAAACATGAGTCAAGGCAAAGGTTGGCGCAGCAGGCCATTCTCGTGCTCCCTCAATTAGGCAGGCTACCAAGCTGAGAGCGTTGCAACACCAAAAGAATCTAAGATGCTCTCTCACAACATCCAACGCCTGCTGTTCCTGCTTGATCACGGCATTTCAAAATAAAGTACTCCAGTCCAGAAGGAAACCAAAGGGAAATCAAGGGCAAATCAAAAGCAGACCAGAGGCTGACCAAAACAGAAACCAAAAGGAAGCCAAAAGGAAACTAATAGAAAACCAAGGGAAAATCAAAAGCAAACCAGAGGGAGACCAAAACGGAGACTAGAAGGAAACCAAAGTGAAACCAAGGGCAAATCAAAAGCAGACCAGAGACCAAAGCAGAAGCCAAAATGAAACCAAAACGAAACCAAAGGGAAACCAAGGGCAAATCAAAAGCAGACCAGAGGGAGACCAAAGCAGACCCAAAAGGAAACCAAAGGGACACCAAAGGGAACTAAAGCGAAACCAAAGGGGAAGCCAAAAGGAAACAAAAGAGACACCAAAGGAAAGCCAACGATGCAGGTTCTTACGAGCTTGGAATCCCATGCCCCGGAGGCGGTTGATTTCCCCCCAAAGGGAACCTTAGGCCCCCACCTGCCAATGTTGCCCATCGCTTCACATTATGAACCAAACACAGTACGCTTGCCAAGATAAAGTCTACAATATACATTCAGATTAGGCTTCAAGCAAGACACAGCAACACACTTCAGGGCCATGTGCACTTGTAGGCAAAAGTTGGACTGAGCAATGCATGGCGAGGGAGCCTGCCATCTGGGGACACCCCTTGCTACGGCAACGAAATGCTGCTGGTGGGCTTTATGCCCAAACAACATTTGTAACATCAGTATTTGGGGCGAAACACACCAAAAGTGTCGTCCTTTCGCATCCCCAGCTATGTAAGTCGTTTTCTGCAAACGCACTGGTGATGCTGGGGGTGATGACCACTGCTGGGGATGGAGCGCTGAAAATGCCGACATGTTGCATCCCCAACATCGCCAGGAGGACCTATGTTGCCACTCGTTCCGTGTGCCTCTCCTTTCAGAGAGGGTCGGCGGATTTCATTCGAAAGAAGTCAAGACGCAATCCAAGCACCCAATGAGCACAACAAGCAGAAGACCCTCATTTACAAGAAGTAGGCACGGCAATGACAGGTAAAGCCAGCCACAGTCTAAAGGCTCAAAAAGATGAGCAGGTGGCACGGAAGGCAGAGAAGAGTAAGTGTTGTGGAAAAAATGGTCTTTGTTTGTTGACTGCGACCGATAGAAGTAGCACGCGTATGAGATGGATTCAGACAAAGATTCATCATGAATTAGCATAATCTCCTGTACGTTCATAGGGGCAAGGAATTGCAACAGGGGAAGAGTCAAGAACGACCTGCGCAAAGGCAGGTGTGAGTGTGAGGTCCGAGCACGACCCCGCAACTAGCTATTTGAATGGCATGGATACTTCAAGAAGGTTCATGAGCGCAGTGTGGTTGTAGTGATTGTCCTGGATTAGTTGCGCATTCGGACATGGAGCTAAGTCTTGACTTGTTTCTTTGATGGGACTTTGCGCAGAGTTCCTCGCCTTCGGCATTTGGCAAGGCCTCATCCGATACCAACAGTACGGAGCGCTGGATGGTTTGGGCGAGGCGAGGGAATTGCCCACGTCAGCGCGTACTCTTTGGAGTCAATGTTCTGTTGATGAAAACTGTTTTCATGGTAGCTGCTGCTGGATCACTTTAAACATAATACCTCATTTACCCGCAAAGCTCGCCTCTTTTGTGCGATCCGCTGGTTGCCGCACGCTGAGTTTGCCGAATCCGAAAAGGCGGCAAAGCCTTAAAGAATGATGATTACCTGCATGTCTAAACCTGGGTGAAGAGCATAGCCGAACAACCTCAAAGGTAACCACTCCATATTGCTACCTACATCGTCACCGTTGGCTTCCAAAGGGCCCCGGCTCAGGCCTCTTTGCTGTACGGCTTTGGCGCGAACCAAGCGGTGGTGAAAAGCCGCTGAGACCGCGAAAGTCTCCGTGAAGGCGCGTTGGAATCCTCGGCCATGTCCCAATCCTGAGCTTGCACCCGCCATCCAGTTGCGTCCAAAGCGTCCAATGAGGAGATGTCATGGCTTTGCACCATGCCACGTGGCAACTGATACAAACCAATTCCTTTGCCTGATGCAGGCTCTTCACTGAGCGGTTGGCACCGCCTGGTTCCGACCAGAACGATGGCAAGAGTCTGTCTGCGACACATCTCACTGGCCGGCAGTGATTCAGCACATCGGGCACTAATAGGCTACTCTTCTATTGCAAACCTTTGTTCGAATGTTGCTCCCTTCTTGCTGACTTGGTGTATCGATTTGAAGGCACTGGCGGCTGTAGGCATACGAGTGACATCAGGGGAGACTTTCAGGTGGGGCGACACGCATCAAAGTCTGCTAGTTGCTCTCGGCCTGCATGCGTGTGCGGACAAGGAAAAGTGTTCCTCCCTGGGTCGAGAATTTCATGCCAATGTCTCATGCATTTAGCAATGAGGATGAAGCTGCATGACATTTTGGCAGGGTCTGTAAACATGAGGAGACAACTATCAGAGTGCGACTCACCAGAATCGGTCCAGCTTGCAGTCAGCTGTGCTTGTAACATGTGAGCCTCATGCTCTTATTGGGTCAATAGGAGTTGCGGCATTGTTCTGTCTATTTTGGCGAAGCAACAAGTATCGTGGGTAGGTTTCTTGCATTTCCTTGGCCCTCATTCTTTGCGGCCATTGGTGTGAACTGGAATCCAGGTAAACAGATCTGGCTGCGGGTCAAAATGAAACCACCATGGCAGCACAGGTTTAATCCATGTTTCCATTTACCGGGATTCCCATTTTGGGTACATATTTTGACCCACTGCCATCTGTTGCTTTGGCTAGGCCTACTCTCGGAGCAGCTGGATGTCTTAACTGCCTCCTGGGCCGCGCGGCCGCAATGGAGTGGTTCACTGGGACCCGAGGGCCTATGCTGCTGCCTTGATGGACGAAAATTGCACAGTTGGCTGCTTTCGCCTGAGCAAGGGCAATAAAGTTTCGAAGGTTTTGTGAGGCAGTTGCTTAAGAGTGCTCCTCTACAAAGAGAACAAGCAAGGGCCTCCAGCTGGCAGGTCAAAGCCTTTTTGTTTGGGAGCTCCGCAGAGTCTGAGGCTGCCGTGCCGAGACTGGTGAAGGCGGAATGCAGGGCACAGAGTTGATAGGGGGTTGTGTTTTTTGAGGGTACTTGTACCCCTAATTTGACACGTACCCAGCAAGTCACTGAGGGAGAAATGCTCTAAGAGACGGACCAGGGGCCAGAAAGTTAGCCTCGCCGTTCATGCCAATGCTTGTGACTGAGCCATTCACGCCGGACCAAACAATAACAGGAATACTTCTGATGACAGATGATGATTTAAGGACGATTGTCGCGGATAAAGACGCATTATGGTTTCTGTTTCGCTCATCCACGGTCTTGCAGCGAACGTGAATGCAGCGCGGGGCGGCAGGAGCAACAGCCTGAGCAGTTGCGGAAGCTCTTCCGCCACGCACCTTCCTAAGCCATGCGAATTTGACGTGCCGAGTCACGTTTGGACCGTTCAGGGTGACCATGGGCTGTCCGATTGTAATTGGGCTCCGTGTTCAGAAATGACAAAATGAATGACTATGAGCTCAACGAAAATACAGCCATGTTTGACTCCCATGTATTTGTTTGGTCGGCAGCATGTCCGCCGTGCGTTCCATTCCTGCAGAGTACAATCCTTCAAATGATTCAGAGCCACGGCAGGGTAGCAAAGAAGGTACACCTTGGTCCGAAAAAATCCCATGTTAGCCACTATTTGCCATTTGACAGTAAGGGTTAATTCCGAACTCCATGTTCTTAACCCATCCTTCTCTTCTGATGTAGGACGTGGAGCTTGTCGCGATCCATGATGCCGTGGATGCCGCCTACAAGGCGCACTTCCGGAGGTTTCCCGCTTCGGTTTGGGGAATGCATCGCTCCGGCATGGGCGGAGCCTTACGGACTGAGTCAAGTCCGCTGTGGGGCTTGGGGCTTCAGTGCCTGCAGCAAACTTACAGCATTTGAGAGGTGCACACGTCCAGCAGATTCTCCTGTGAAGCCCGTCCAGCGGCAGGGCACCAGATGAGCAGGGTATTATTTCTGTTTTTTTGAAACAGATATTTTAAAAGCTTCGGGAGAACTCCCAACAGGTCCACGAAGCCGCGTATGTGATACGTCGTGTGCCCATAGGTGTCCTTTTTGGTTGTTTTGGTAGAACAAAATAGATGGCCGTGGTTTACTTGGTGGTTTATAATCATCTACCAGGGCCATCATAATAGGCCTAGGACACCTCCATCTTGCCCTAAAAGGACACCTATGTGCCGCGAAGACTTGCGACTCTGGCGACATCTCCGCGCAGCCACTTCACGAAGGCCACGTCGCTAAAAGGAATCGGCCAGCTGAAAACACGTCCTCGAAGCCCTCCGCGAAGCCACCGTCTTGTCGCGAATGCTCGGCCCTCCACAAATTCTGGCCCCGCGCATGCCCCCAGCGGCTCCGTAGGCTCCCCAGCGTATACGCCCGAACCTTCTAAAGAATACACTGCTCAACTGGGTGTGCCATTCTTTGAGGAAATGGGTGGTTTCCTGTTGATTTTACCAAGAAAAGAGTACATCAAAGAGACATGCAGCCTTCGGGCTTGGAAGCTTTCGGTGCCCCAAGTGCCGGCTGTCGTTTGCCTGGCAAGGCTTGGATTGATCAGGCCTGGGCCGGGGAAGGGTGCGGAGTTGAAGTGCTCACCTGTGAGCAAGCATCACACTGGACTTCTTGCGTTTTCTATTTTTTGGATCAACCGATATGAGTGATTCGGGCTGTGTTGACTTCAACCTGAGCTCTGGAGTTGGCAGAACACCGTCAGCTCCATGCCACCTGGTCACAACTTTGCTCGGGCCCGCCCCGAGACCTGTGATTCCAACATCATCGTGGAAATGCCTCGGGTACTACAGCGCGGGAACCTTGGGAAGGCTTTGAATGGTTCGCGTCTTGCCCTTGGGGCACATGTTGCAAGCAGGTGCAAACATATTTAGAATGCCAGAGTGATGAATCAGGAACATCAATTCATGTAAGAACTGGCCAGCTGTTGCCGGTCCAAAGATTCGCAGCACATGCATCGTCGTAGTCCGAGGGTTGCTGGCAATCTCCGAGGTTTCGTGGAGAGGGTGAGGCCACCATATGCCATCGAGGCTGGACCCAATATGGCCATGGGTCAAAATCCCGTACTGCCAGTGAACATCCCAATCCCCACTAACATAGACTACCGCACCTACCCCAAAATGGTACCATTGGTTTTGACCCACAGAAGACGAAGTCTGCAGCAGCCCCTTTGCCAATGACCCACTTCCCTTG